TAAGCTTTATCATGAAAAAAACTATTTTTGAAAATTCAAGAATGATGATCCAAGATGGCGGATATCTTAAATATGCATGACGTCATTTTATGACGTCACCGGTGTTGCTATGGGCAACATAAGACTTAGTACACCATAATATTCTGTCATAAACACTTTTGGTACAGTTATGTTGAATACCATTTAGTTTACAGGGTAAAACCTATTTAGACGGTTTTGGCCAATAAAATCATATTAATGACGTCATAATGACGTCATATTACGTCATAACGACATAAAAATTGCAGATATGATAAATTTTTACTAGTACACCATTCTCTGAAAATTTGGTGGTCATACGACATACCGTTCGCGAGTTCTTAGTGGGGGGTCAAAAGACCCCCCCCCCCGGTCCCCCCATGTCAAAAAAAGCCCGGTCTAGGTAGGGTTAAAAATTGTGTATTTTAACTATATAGGGGGAATACATGAGTGAATGAGTAAAGACCTTTATTGTAAGTCTGGTGGAGACTAACAATGCGCACCTTTTTGTATCCGTACCTAAGGGCAATGGTAAAGTATCCAGGTGTTGTTACATTTATCTATTCATTCATTTATTAGTTTTGACTGAAGATACAGCTAGGCTGTCCAGCTAGCTAGCACACTAGGGCCTTTGAGTAACGTTACATGGTGTGCATACAGACGCCAATGCGAGAGAGTCCGGTGCTGGCGCAGGTGAGGTTCTCCCCGCACGGGCAGCGCCAGAACACCCGGTGGATCCGGAGCGGGTACGGCATCCTGTTGCTGGCCATGTGACACGGCTCCCCGCGCTGACCCATCTCCTTACACACAGGGATGGGGATGGACCGGCCCCAGGGAGCGCAGCACGCAGGACCGCCCAGGGCGCGCATGCACTGGTAATCGTCCTCACACACCTGGAACAACATCAAAACATGCTGAATAAAACTGTTTTTGTACAGTTAATTGCCTGGCAAATATTGTACAACAATTGTAGGACGGCCCAGGGCTCGTATGCACTGGTAATCGTCCTCACAAACCTGGAACAACAAGGATAGAGTACAGTACAACAATTGTACAAGACACGAGGACGGCCCATGGCTTCACAAACCTGGAACAACAAGGATAGAGTATAGTACAACGATTGTGCAAGGTTCGTAGGACGTCCCAGGGCTTCACCAACCTGAAACAACAAGGATAGAGTATAGCACAACGATTGTGCAAGATACGTGGGACGGCCCAGGGCTCGCATTCAGTGGTAATGATCTTCACACACCTGAAACAACAAGAATAGAGTATATAGTACAACAATTGTACAAGATACGTAGGACGGCCTAGGGCACGCATGCACTGGTAATCATCCTCACAAACCTGGAAAAAGGATAGAGTATAGTACAACAATTGTACAAGATACGTAGGACGGCCCTGGGCTCGCATGCACTGGTAACCATCTTCACAAACCTGGAACAAGCAAAAAAATGCACTGGTAATCATCCTCACAGAGCTGGATCCAGAAGTAAGGAACGGGTTAGACAAATAGTAGTACAACAATTGTGGAAGGTATGTTTTCATTGCCAGTCTTGTTCCTTTTGGATACTGCCTTGCCTGTTGTGTACTGCGTTGCCTATTGGATACTGCTTTGCTTCTTGGATACTGTCTTGGCTATCGAATGATCTCGTTGGAGACTAATAGGACAGCGAATAAGACTTATGGAGAAGTGTAAGGTGTGACTTATACAGTGTCTTCTTTACTTGGTCTACTTTGTCACTCTTCAAGTGATCCGTGAGATAGCACGAACATGAGCGCAGGCCTGGAGCAAGATAGCTTCATCTAGCTCTGCCTTAGCTACCGGATCCTAGTATTCTGGAAATCAGTCCGAAGCATGGAAACATTGACAGAGTGCATGTTGTACAGGTTTTTTTTAGACCGTATGTAATTGTCGACCACGAAAGACGTCAGAATACCTTTTGTAGCCGGCACGTTGTAAATAGCTCGCTATTTCACAAACCAGGTGCGACGTATTTGCGTCATAAGGGGCAACCCTGACGCTCCAGAGGGCACAGGGGTGCAACAGTCTCTTCTGGTTAGTTTTCTTGTAAAGAATGGTTCTTACGCCAAAGCGACGGGCGTGACACACGTGGACAAATGTCCGCAGGTAAGGCCACAGCAAGTAATTTTTATGGATGACATCAGCGCGCGCAATTATTTCACCAAATTTTGGAGGAAAAAAAAAACAAGAAATTGTGTTGCCTTCTGACAGCGGTCAACATGCCAAAAATGGGCAAAGATGTCTGTTGCCATGCTGGAAAGTGGATGGCACTATGATAACTATGAAGAGAGGAGACAAGAAAAGGCTCTGACTTAATGTTTTGTTTCTTACACTCATGCAGTGATATGTGATGCTGGCTGTGTATATGTGATGTTCCCACTGAATCAAAACCATTTGTGCAACTTTAAAATGTAGGAACCTTGTTTATTTCGGCCCGCCTTGTTTTTTTTTCGCCCGCTCGCATTAGATTTGGAGTCTGGGGAGGATGTCATCCATAAAATTTACTTGCTGAGACCTAAAGAATGGTTCTTACGCCAAAGCGACGGGCGTGACACACGCGGACAAATGTCTGCAGGTAACGACCTACAACCCCGAGTCAGCATCTGCTGCAGCTGTGGTTGTCTGATAAGACATGTTTGTCAATAACGACATGCGATGCAATCATTCACGGTTTCTCTATGATCTTTTTAAGCAGTTGCGGCACGGGCAGCTGAGGACCAGGTAAAATTTGGGATGAAAGTGGAAGGAGAAATGAAACACCTGAGACTCAATCGTGGGTGTCATTACGAAGGGCTTAAAGTGCTTTTTGCCTTATATTTGCCTTATATATATATGCTTTTATCTTAAGCCTACAGTAGTTTTGGCATGATAACCTATAATAACGTGCATTAAAAGGGATACGCCAAAAACAGTCTTTTTTCAGGTAGCATCCACTACCTTTCATCGGTGACACTGGAGACTTGTCAGAAAGGCAGGTTTAAGCACGAACTACCATTAAACTTACTCACTTGTACTTGAGTAGGTCTCCTCATCTTTGTGAGTGGCCTGCGTCACTACCATTAAAAGGGATTTATATATTTCAAATGCAAACAAAAGGCATGGTTTGGACTTAACTGTATTTCCCTGTGCGTAATATGAAGTTTATATAAGCGCATAGTGACGATGTGTTTTGAGGAATAAGCTTAAGTACCTTCCCGACCGTCTTGATGTTTCTGTCCTTCGCTTGGATAGCATGGCTTTACAAGATTATGTAGACTGACGTCATCTGATCTTTCTTGAGTCTGGACCTTAAACGGGCTTAGCAGAATTCTTGGTAAAGGATACAGACTTCTTTGAAAAGATAGTGCGTAACTAACTACACATTTAAGCATATAAAAGTCACAGAAAGGCACCGTGAAAATGCCCTTTCCGAACTTCCGGAAAGTCCACGTTAAGGCAATCGTTTAGGGGTCATAAAGGTGCGGAAAGTGTGCCGCCTTTACGCTGAGTTTAAGCGTGCTTTAATATCACTTTTCGTGCCGTGTAGTAAAATGTTCACCTGCCAAAAGTCTTCTTCTTTCAGAAAAAGGTTTAATCATTGGTCTCCTATCTGCCAAAAGTCTTCGTCTTTCAGAAAATCGTCAATCATTGGTCTATCTACACGAAGGTCATGTTTACCTGGTTACCTACTTTAGCTCCCGAGTCTTTATATTCTCCAAGAATAGATAGGATAGAGAATAAAGACTCACCTCACCTCACCTCACTCGGGGGCTAGGATAGGTCTGGTAACCAGGCTATGGTCATGTACCCCAAAGTTCCAACAACATCCGTAAATTATTTCATCAGGTTGGTAAACGAATGAATAGCAAAGTTCTTTTATCACAACCATTTATTTTTACGAGCCGACGTTTCGATGACCGTCTGTCATCTTCATCAGGGCAATTCTGACTGGTTTACTGTGCACTGACACTAGATGTTACTAGCGCACTAAAGGTGTTACATGGTTCACAGTGCACTTCTACTTGGTTTTGCTGTTAACAATGCATTTCCGAACGTAGTGTAATTGTGACATACATAGGCTTGTTACATCATAAGGACATATGCGGAACCACAACCCAGTCAGAATTGCCCTGACGAAGATGGCAGACAATCATCGAAACGTCGGCTCGTAAAAATAAATGGTTGTGATCAAAGAACTTTGCTATTGAATATTTTAACTAGTTACTTCACCGTACGCGTATCCCGATATCTTCGCGGCATCATCATTATGCAACCGCAAATCAAACGGTTGGAGACACGAATAATTGGGAACATTGTTGTGTTGAGGTTATTTAGATCTACCATTAGCATACATAGGAGCTATAATTCTTCCTGTGTATTGTCGTCTCCCATGTATTTTCATGTCGATGACAACGTTAACGTTCCATAAAAGGACCCGGCTGTGTTCAGGCTGCGCTCTTTTCGAGGTTGTAGCTTAATGTATTCATCACCACATTGACGTCAATGATAGCTATTTTGAAGCAACTCCTAACAAGCCATCTGAACTTCACAAAAACAGATTCGTATGGCCGATTTCAACGTGAATATTTTGCTTAATGTCAATGCAATTGGTTTAATTTCTTGTGTACGTAACTTTCATATACCCGAGGACACCTGAAAATCAGGTCACAGGCCTACTGGTAAAATGATTTAAAGTAAATAGATAAATGAATGCAAAGCACTATGCTGAACTGAAAGCACTCAATTTTATCTTGTAATAGTATATCCTTGTGTTTCCTGTTCTTTCACACGTGTCTGCCACTCAAGGATTGGCCTGCTCAGCCACTGCCAAGGAAGATGCAGGGACCTCCTGTGACCAAATCCATGGTCGTATGACGTAGCGTTCGACTCGGAACCAAGAGGTACCGGGTTCGAGTCCTGACATGCCACCGATCCTGTGCCCTTGGGAAAGGCACTTTACACGACTTTCCTCACTTCGCTCAGGTGAAAAATGAGTATTGTATTGTCCCCTGTGTTGGTGGTGGCATCAATATAAGTTGAAAAAACTTCAGTGTGCCGTCACCACGTCTTGTGACTACATGTTTGAATATTAAAAAATCCACACTCTACTAAGTCGTAAGGAGGCCTAGGTAAAGCACTATGCTAAAGTGAAACCACTCATTTTTTTATCCTTTATTTTCATTTGCACAACATGTGGTAGGGCATACCACTCAAGAATCGGCTTGATCAGCCACTGCCAAAGAAGGCGAAGGGACCTCCTGGGATTAAACACTTCGTCTACTGAGACGAAAGAACGCCGACGATCCTTGGCTAATGTTACTGTAGACAAGGGCACTTGAAATGGCGAGTTAGCTTTAAATCAAATGAGACCGATTTGTGCAAATACAATCACAGGCTGCCAAGACGCAAGACGTACTCCACATGCTCCCCAATTACTGGTTTATTGACGTATTGCGTATGTTGTAAGTGTACAGCCGGCCAAACCACGTCAGAACGTCACGAAGCCACCAGACAAACATAACGGATACCTAAATACAGACACGTGTATTGCCATGTATGGAGATGGGCAGTTTTGCTTTTGAAAGGCATCTAATGCAATTTCAGGATGGCAAAACTGGATTTTCTAAGTCTATGGCCCTTCTTTTAATGTAATAAGTTGAACCAACGCCTTCCCATAGCATACTGACTAGTGTGAGCCAAAAATGCGATGTCGTAGAAAGACAATGTTTGCTTGTTTTATAAAGTACTCCAAAACTGAAGAGGCGCCTTTGATACTCTGGTGCTATTAAGAATGCGTTAAGTATGTAATGATGTCGAAAGTGTGATTTTTTCATCTAGAATGTTTTTTGCTTTGCAACGTGCCATGAAATTGCATTGGATGCCTTTAAGGGCAGACATGTCTCCAGAAACATTGTTTATTTTCCAGGTCGACGTCTGGCATCGTGGTCTTGTTTACTCTAGAATCATCTTAAGTATCCTCTTAACGACACGAGCGACAGAAACAGTTGTAAATTGAGTTTCAACTCTTCTTCTGCAGAGTATTTGTATGTTTTATACCTTCGAATATGTATACAAATATTAAACTACACATGCATACCCTCTCATATGCTAGTATTAGCACCCATTAATTATATAAATTTGTCAAAATTAAACAAAATTGGAAAAAGCATGATTCATAATCATTTAACGATGTGGTTTAAATAACAGGAGGCAATGTTGAAGAAAAAAAAATAAATGAAACTATGTTTTGGTGATTGAAATGTACGCATTTGCGTCACGCAGATAGACTAATTCCTTACATTTGTTATATAAATATCTAATAAGTAGACAGAAAAATTAAGTGAAATTATAGTTTAATGATTGAAATTTACGCATTTGCGTCACGCAAGTAGGTTGATTCTTTACGTCTGTGACTGTGATATATATCTGACAATTAGAGAAAGAAAACCTGCAGATTCTGATTAAAGTGTACACATTTGCGTCACTTAAGTGGGTTAATTCTTTACATCTGTGACTATTTACGTGGTATATATCTAACAATTACAGAAAGAAACCTAGTTTCTGATTGAAGTGTACACATTTGCACGCAAGTGGGTTAATTCTTTACATCTGTGACTGTGTACGTGGTATATATCTAACAATTACAGAAAGAGACCTAGTTTCTGATTGAAGTGTACACATTTGCACGCAAGTGGGTTAATTCTTTACATCTGTGACTGTGTACGTGATGTATCTGACAATTACAGAAAGAAAACCTACAGATTATGATTGAAGTGTACACATTTGCGTCACGCAAGTAGGTTAATTCCTTACATCGTAGCTCTATGATACTTAGTAACCTCTCCACGTAGAGACGAATTCGTTAGTTTCGTTTCACGAAAAGGCCGAGGAGACAACATGCAGTAAAGGTTAATCACTTCCCTTGTTACGTCGTGTATTCATGACGCGAGGTTTCTTTGAAGGCATCCAATGCAATTTCACAGCGGCAAAACAACAAAGTATTCCGGATGGGGAATTCTGTCTGATGTTGACATTTACTGCCATTTCTTAGGACCTTCGTTATTACTTCTTGCTTGAACCTTCGTCTTGACTAGAGTGACTACTCTCCAAGCAGAGGTTGTGGGGGAATGATCGTTAGCTTTTTATATATATGGCCATTTTGTTTTTTTGTCGGTGGCCGCGGAGCTTCTCTGGCTAATGGATACTGTCTGGACAATTTGATACTGTCTTTTTTGCCACCGAGAGGGATCTGCTTGGAGATTATAGACTGCTCAAAGGAGGACCTGGAAGCCCTGACTCCCAGAGGAAGGGCATGCGCGGAGTATTGGAGGGAGCAGTGAATGGTGACCCGAGAAGAAGAAGAACTAGAGTGACTAAGAAAAATATTTTGACAGTTACCTACAACTAAATTTCCTGCAAAGAAAACAACAGAGCACACGGCAAGGTTACAGGTACTGACAGCAGTAACTGAAACTGTATAGAAATCTTACATATAGACTTAAAGCTGCATTATGTAACTTTACGGCGATAACAATAGTAAATTTTCTCGTGATTTCTTTACAATGTAATTTGGATCAACCCTATACCATTGCAAATAATTGTCATTTAGGAAGTGTAATTGTCAAAATATGATCATGACGTCTTACGAGCGTGTTTAAAGGTTTGAAAGACAGCTGTCAGCCATGTTTGTTTACATTCTGGTAGTTTGAGGTGGCACCACAAACTGAGTGCGCCTTATGTTGAACATTTTTAGCGCCAACCATAGATGTCAGAAATGTAAGATTGTTGCACAAATATGTTATGAAAAGTAAGAGTTAGAGTAAATTACCATTTCACGAATATTTCTTTAAATAAAATATTTCAATTTTTGGTGCCAAATTGTTACATAATGCCCCTTTAATAGACTTATATAATTCCAACTCTACTACTGGATAAATACTGATATTACCTCCGGGCGTTTCGAGTTTCCATCACTCTTCTTATCTTTAGCCTCACTAGAATGAACTGACAGAGCGTTATAATGCTAGCCACTCAATGTCACTCGAAACGTCCTGAAGCTATCAATCAATAGTTAGTGCTTATAAACCTGCATTTCCCCTCTGGTCTCTCAGTCACTGATGAAAGCTAGTGGATACTAGCTAAAACGTCTGACCGTTTCCAAAATCATATCCAGTTGCTTGAGCAACTGCTTTTTGGCGTATCGTATTACCTGGATATCTAACCTTCATCGACGTGTCCTGAAGCTATCTTCCGTATTTAGTTGAGTTGAGTCTTGTAAGTAGTAGACACGTGCATGTGGGTATTTGATTCTTATCACTTAGGCCACACCGATTTAATTTCATGGATGGCATCCTCTGAAGACCCCAAAATTAGTGCGCGCGGGCGAATAAAAAAAAAATCCGACCAGAAATAAAAATGCCACAAAACCACAGGAATACAAAGCAGGTACATGTATTGCGAATTTGCGGCAGTACATAGCGACGTACGTATACGACAAGCCAGCACATGCTGACTTTTTGCAGAGTTTATAAATCGGCACTGTCCGTATGTACTGAGGTCTTGAGTCGTGGAGCTTCGACAGCCTGGGTGCCATCCTCCAGAGTTACTATCTACTATCCTTGTCGCTATCTACCATGGACTACCCAGACCTAGAGCCAGGCCAGAGCCTCGGAGAAGGTGATCTTTTATTATTATAATTTTTTTTTTGAGAACAGGCGAAAATCAAGGCGCGCGTGGATGTCATCCATAAAATTAAGACGGTGTGGCCTTACATGTACCTGGCATTTATCGTCATTGTTAAGGCAGACAGTACACCAGACGCGCCGAGCAGGCTTTCCTGGAATTTGGCTGGTAATTGTTGACTTAGGCGGCAACAGCAGAGTACACCCATATTGGTATAGCTCACTTTTATTTGTGTACAGATTCCTATGGTAGCGTTACCGTTAAAAGCTAGCTTCAACAGAAGGATTTACCAAAAAGTCAAATTCCTGGAAAGTCTCCTCGGTGCGCCTGGTATAATGTCTGCCTTAAGGATGGCGATTGACGCCAGATAAGTGATAGGAATCAATTGCCAAAAGCAGTTACTAGTATTACGGGACTAACCCTGTATTTGCCACGTTCGTTTGCCCCTTTTCGTGCAGTGCTAGTTTGAATTGTCTATCTGAATATCGTTTACCTGGTCTATAAACTTCATTAAGGTGTAAGGAAATCGCTTCTACTATACCGCATGTCCACCTCTCCCTACCGAGTAAGGAGTTGTGTGTTTGTTATATTCATAATCGTGTTTTATCCAGAACCATGCTCAGACAAGGGTATTGATTGTCCAATCAAGCGTATCCAGAATTGTGTTTCATCCAGAACCACGCACATGTACAGGCACGGTTATGGATAGTCCACGCGTATCCAGAACCGTGCCTGGGGCAGGTCTACGTTCTTGGATTGCCGGAAACTATCCAGAACCGTGCCTGCTCCTAAGATTCCTAACCTTAATAATTTGATTGGTGTTCATTCCTAACCCTCAGTCACTCAGGCATAGAACTAGACAGACGCGGTTCTGGATACAGTACAAACTACATACGCTACCCATTCAAGTATAGAACCATTATGATAGTACAATAGCGTTGTGCTTACCCCGGTTGTTACATAGCCCTCGGCGCCGGTGTGACATTGAAGCAACAGTAGCAGCAACAGATACGCTAAGGCCGCCGCCGCCGGTATCCTCCTCGCCGGCACGCAGGTCTCTCCCATGCCCATGTTGTAGTAGTAGTAGTAGTGGTGAGGTGCAGGCGGCTTTCTGGAGTGACGGAGTATGAAGGCCTTAGACCCTGCCTCTCCCTCTATATACACTCTACCTCGTGCCGCACGCACGCGCATATGGAGTACCTCATTAGTTGGGAGGGCCGTCGCCAACGCACAATAATATACCACGGCACGGCACCTGCCTCCGGTTCGCGGTTAATCCCGGATCTGAAGGACCGGCAACTTTGGAAACTTTGTATCCGCGAAATCATCATGCTCTTCACAGGAAACAAAGAGATACGCGGGCTATTTTTGGGGGCGAGGACCGGAGTAACCGCTTCCTTTATTGCCCCCGCTTCTTCCGTTCTTTTCACTCCAGTAACCCAACAACCTGTTACTAGCTGCACTGACTCATGACAATGTACTAGTATATCATAGTCTCCACCAGGCTAACAACGCGGGTTACTAGCCTCCATAGCATGCCAAAAAACTGGGGGTTTTGGGGGTCTTTGGGAGCTTTTATGTGCTATTTCCTGATTGCATATAGACAACATAGCCGGCCTGGTTGAATTACCCCCGTTTTAATAGAACTGGGCTAATCAGAAAACAGACGAGGACCACCAAACCCCCAGTTCTATAAGCCTGCTACGGAGGCTAGCGGGTTACAGAATAGTAAAATCTAGCGAAACAGGGGGGGATAATTGGCCAGGTGGGGTTAGCTACCAAAGAGTTCATTTTCCCTTGAAGGTAGGGCAAAATGTTACCCTTACCTAGCCTCTATCAGGCTTCGGGAGGCGGCTGGAAAGAGTAGAAATCGGCCAAATAGAGAGATAACATGCCAGGGGAGTTTGTCGGCTGGGAGAGAACAGTTTGCCCCTGGCATGTTATCTCAGAGTCTCTATTTGGCCGATTTCTACTCTTTCCAGCCGCCTCCCAAAGCCTGGTAGAAGCTAACCCTTACCGATGCACACTCCCCTGGATAATTACTGAACCTCTTTGTACCAAATCTTACTATCCATAGCCCTTTAGGAAGGTCTGGAGGAGGCTATAGCTTTGGCTCATTATGATGTACCTATTGTGGAAGATGAATTCACCGACTGACTCAAACGAGAGATTTCCTGTATAATGTAAACGGATGGGCTCATTACTACATGTATATACATGATACATACGACAGTAACGGTATAAATAGCCATAGATAGAAGACAAGTTCTCCGGTAGAGGAGAATGATCGAACGGAAACTGCATTCAGTGGAACAAAAATTGGATCACGAAGGAGGACAAAATTAGCCCAGTGTACACACAATGAATCATATAAGCAAGGCAAGACGAAGTTTTGTGCGTAAATTGTCAACATAGCTTCAATTACAAAACAGCATGAAAAAGCTGCTTGGTGAGTCGAAATGGTGAAGACTAATTGTATGACTGGCTGTAACCTTACCTTTGACTTAGATCCTCCAGTGCTTTACTGGCACATCAAGCATATGCAGCAAGTTAATCTCCAAGCAGATCTTTTGGTGGCGACAAGGCAGTAGCAAAGTGGCCAGGCTTTTGGTGGCTGCAATGTAGTATCAAACAGGCAAGGCCTTTTGCCACCCGAAGCTGGCGTAAAAAAAGACACCAGTACAAAAAGAAACCCCCGATAAAACTAGCCTCCGTAGCAGGCTTATAGAACTAGGGGTTTGGTGGTCTTCACCTGTTTTAAACCTGTAGCCCAGTTCAGAACACGGGGGTAGTTCAACCAGGCCGGGTATGTTGTCTACAAGTATATGCAATCAGAAAATAGCACATAAAAGATCCCAAATACCATGAAGACCCCCAGTTTTTGGCATGCTATGGAGGCTACTAGTAGATAAAACCGCGTAAAACACGTTAGATATAAGCCGAGGCCAAAAACTTCCGCTTAGGGAGCAGCAAGTTTTCTTGCCCTTCTATCGAAAGCTACTATCTCTGCCTCCCGGAGATGTTTGACCTTTTCAGATCCTCTAGGAATGCAGCTATAACGTTACAGTTGCCAAAAATTCAATTCTTGTCCGTGGTCTTCTTCTTTGCCCTCTTTAGATCCTCTAGGAATTTAGCGATACAGTTGCCAAAAAATTCTATTCTTATCGTTGGTCGTCTTCTTCTCGTGCCATGCTGACCTGAGCTGAAGCATAAACTATCCTTGGGAATTTTCTCGATTATCTATATTCAAGTAGGCCAACAGTTGGCTAAGGTGAAGGTTTGCTTAAGATATCTGGCCTTGCTCTAGCTCTGTGTTTTCACTTGTTCCTTTATCAGTCATTATGTTTATCTTCGGAGAAAGAAAAACGTTTTTGCTCTGCTTCTTCGTCTTCTCGAAACACATAAGGTCAATGACCTGGACCAGACGGCTGTCACTATGGTAACTGGTGCTGCAGCAGACACCCTGTGGTGTTGCGTTACATTATGTAGCAAGTGGCAGAACAGAGCTGGATGTACTGGTATATACTTAGTATATATATATATATATGTGTGTGTGTTTGAGTAAGAAAAACAGAGCAGTGCCTTGGTAGGCTAGACCATGCAAAGGTAAACACCATGCATGCGTTTGCTTTGCAAAATGCTACCTTTCTAATTCTAATTCTAGCTGTATTTGGTAAACTAGACCATGTGAACGGTAAACGCCGTGTATGCCTTTGCTTTACAAATGCTACCTTCTGCATCTTTCCGACAGGAACGTGTAGACATGCCAAAACACAGACCAACTGCAGACGTCTGTCACCATGGTAACTGGTGCTATAGTAGACACTCTGTGGTGTTGGGTTACATTATGTAGTAGGGCAGAGCTGGACTGGTCCGGCTATACACTACGAATATACAGAGCAGTAGTTTGCCAGGCTACATTGTGCATGTGAATGTTAACACTATGTGTTAGGTGCTTTGCAAATGCTACCTTTCTACTTGTATCTGCCTCTTTCCGACTGGAACGTGGAGACTTGCCAAGGCACACGTGAGAGCAAAAGAGTTAAACAACCTCAGACGGCCCAGCCGTCGTGACCATTCCGGGTCTGCCGTGAGGTTGTGACTGCGGGGAAAGGCTCATTAGCGAGTCCGGTACACCTGAACAGGTCCGCTCTGATGTCATTTTCCTCTTCAGCAGAATCTTGGCTGCATGTAGAGGTGAGTGTGCGTACCGGAAGTGAACATGAGTCATTCACAAACTTAATGGAACTAGGAAACTACAAGTGGAAAAAAAACCTGACTGGTGTCTTTTTAAATGTAATACAGTGTTCTGCATCAAATGTTGTCCGGGAAATTTATAATGTATGAAACAT